TTTTGGTTTACAACTTTTCTCTACTTGCTTTTCGATGGAGCTGTCTTGGAAACAAATTCGCTTGCTACTCATGCACGAACTGTACTTAGGCGAAAATGCTGTGAAGCGGCGCGCAATAATAATGGAGCTAGGGATGATCATAGGGTTGCAGAAAAGACGACTAAGAAGTGGATAGCAGAGTTCAAAGCTGAATAGAGCAAACTGGAGGATCAGTACCGCTAGGATGTCCATAGGTAGCTCCATTAATGCTGCACGCCGCCTCACTAACATTTCCCCCTACGCGCCATTCGTACAAAGCAGCAATTAAATTTGTTCTCACAACAGCTCTATCTTTATGAAAGTATAGGCAAATTGTCTTCCAAAATGTTCATAAGAAATTGCGCAATTGAAGCCAAAGTCATATGTGCCACAAAATCATTTTTGAGCCATGCATGTCGCGTGGGCTGTTAATAAAAGGACTGACTTATATAGACCGATACACGTGTTTCGGCCTTGCTGTCTCGTCAGTCGCCGTAAAAAAATGATTTTGTGGCAAGTGAAATTTAAGCTGTGGTCCTGGAAGCTAAGCTGGAAGAAAACACTCGAAACGAAAAATACCGAAGTCAAATAATTCTAGCTATTTTGATCAATAAATTTGGTATTTAATGCTCTGTTGTCAAAACTTAAGTTATGACGTAATATTAACAAAAGTGCAAGACAAAGGTAGCATTAGGTGGCACAAAGAGCTTACAGGTCTTCAGAAGGGCCTTATGTACCATCAGGGTGGTCCATGGCGGAGAGATTGAGAGGCACAGAGGCAGCGAGCAAACAAGAACGTCTGAGTGGGTGTAGTGCGCCAGACGCACGGTGTTTCAAGATGTCACGTCGCCTGCGGCAATGCCGGATAGTTATTTGAAAATTGGCACGCTGCCAAGTTAGGTTTCAACAAATGCCCAGACTTGTTGATATTTTTAGTGCACGAAAGAAGACAGATAGAGAAGTTTTTGTGAGGAAAATTCTCAATGAAAAGTGTTTGACACTTTATTGATCTGTCTTCACAGTGTTTTCTTCCCATTGTGGGAATTTCAGTAATTCTAGCATTCATTTCGATATTACGCCTTCTTCTTGAACATCGTAGCTGGTTGAGGACGTCTAGCGGCAATCTCGAGGATAACTCAGCAATAGCGTTCCATAGAGCGTGTTGACTGCCGGAGAATGTTGGATTGCGAGGTTCGCCCCATGCGCGCCGTGATAAGCATCACAACCATCGGCCACGACGCCCTCCTAGGTCTTTGTTGGGAACAAAATTTATTCAAGTTGAATCATTTAACTAAATCCGTTAAAGGTTGGTTAGTGACAGAAATATTTGAAAAAAATTGAAAGTAGAAATACTGACAACAGAAATGTGATATCAGTGGTGTACCGGTGGCAAGCCCCCGATGTGGGTGAAAGGCGGTTTTCAACTTCCGAAAGATTCCGATCGTTTTGCATGCCATTCAGTCTATTTGGTTTATATTTATAGCATCATGCCATTTTTCAGAAAAAAAAGAAGTATGCTCGGATTATATTAGGTCGATGCAAGCGGAGCTCCGCGTTTGAGTGGTTGTGATGCTCATCACGGCGTCAGTGAGGCCGAGCTTCAGCCCTGACTTCTCCGGCAGCCAACGACAAAGCCCTATGGAACCACAGCTAGGATATATGCGAGCTATCGATGAGGCTCGTTCAGCCAGTATTCTGCGACGTCGAAGATGAAGATGAAGCAGCGAATCTAATGCTAGAAGTGCTGAGATCGGCACGGTGAGAAATTTTTGTGAAGACAAATTAATAGTGTCTAGAAAAGGTGTGATGCAAAAGTAATGGAGGTCCATTCATTGTTGAAATCTGCAAATCGATAATGGAAAAATTCCAGATAAATATGGTTATATTAGATATAGTTTTAATGCTCTAACTTTATTCCTTATTTTATCTTTAACGATGTTATAGTTGAAATTCATCTTATATTTATTTTAAACTACGGAAAGAATTTTGGTGAGTGTAAAATTACCTGAGGTTTCAAACCGTGAGTTCAAAATATTGTGAAGCAGCTTGAAGAACACGCAACATCAACAACGCATTAAGCTTAAGAGCTCTCAAAAAACTCACAATGCAGCGATGGTTCAAAAAATTTCGCAGAGGAACGGAAGCTTTAAAAGTGGGGAGCGTAGTGGCCGGGCAGGTTAAGTTGACGAAGACCAACTAAGAGCAGTCACCGAAGCTGATTCTCCTAAGACTATACCAGATGTTGCAGAGGAACTCGGAGTCGACCAATCATTGGCCGATCACCATTTGAAACAAACTGAGAAAGTGAAAAAGATTGGTACAAGGTCATGACGGTCAGTTACACCCAGCTGACAGTCACACATAACACATCGAACGCTTTAAAAGTTGAACGACTTAGGTTACGAGCTTTGTTTCATCATTCATACTCGCTGGGCCTCACGCCCACCGACTTCTACTACTTCAAGCATCTCGACAACCTTCCGCAGAAAAAAAAGCTGCCACAAGGGACAGGATGCAGTAAACGTCCTCCAGGGGTTCTCGAATTCCAAGGCACCAATCTTTTAGTTGCATAGCACTTAGACTATGGTTCGACATGTTATATCCTTATCGGATTATAAAGTGTTTGAGCAAGGGCCTACAAAAAAAGCGGTCGAATGAAGAGGTCTGATTCATTTGAAAGCCACAAGCTCGACTGCCAGTCACTACAGTGTCAGGTAATTCAGTCAACTGACTTGCTGTGATTTCTTGCTCGGCGTCCATTGCTTCACAGAGTCGTATAGACTCGAGGATCGGCCCAAACCGGAGACGGTGCTACTGATGAGTTCCCGCAGGACGAAACAGGCGCCTATATAGCACTTAGACCGTAATGGCGCAAAACATATTTTGTCCATATTGGATTATTAATGTTTGAGGAAGGCCTGTAAAAAAGCGGTCGAATGAAGATGTTTGATCCTGATTAATTACCACCGTTGATGATGTCTGTTAGATTGGTATGCACACCGGTCATATCGTGTTGAGCGGAAATGCATGGCTGAGCTAACCGAGGATAAAAAGATGAGGATAGATTGGCAAAACACAACAAAAGAGACATAAATTTCGCCTCATCGGCTTCTCTGCTTTTTCTTTATAAAATCTAATCACCTTTGCGATTTCCTAGATTACAATTCGTAGAGGAAGAACACAGAGAGAAAGAGGATTGAAATTTGAGGAAAAGAACCACAGATGACGTACTTGACGTTGGTCTCATTGGTTGGTGCAAATCAGCACTGTAATCTTTTCCTTTAATCGAAAAATGCAGCTCACCAGGCGCAATTGAGTAACATATGATGTGGTCGACCTGCTTCTCCTCACAAGTTTCCGATTTCGGAACAGGGAACTCAACTGTCTCCATCTGAAAAAAAAAACCTGTCTTCAGACTACATTTGTAAAACAAGTGAGCAAGTATAGGCAAGTTGTACATCAGAATGTTCATGAGAACATGCGCAATTGAAGCTAAAACCATATAATTTCCCTGACTGCGGTCAGTAAATTTGGTATTTACTGCTCTGGTGTCAAAACTTAAGGAATGACGTAATATTAACAAAACTGCAAGACAAACGTCGCATTAGGTAGCACAAAGAGCTTAGTGGTCTACAGAAGGGCCTTATATACCAGCAGGGTGGTCCATGGCTGAGAGATTGAGAGGAACAGAGGCAGCGAGCAAACAAGAGCGTGTGAGTGGGTGTAGTGTGCCAGACGCACAGTGTTTCAAGAGGTTACGTCGCCTGAGGCGATGCCAAATAGCTACTTGAAAATTGGCACGCTGCCAAGTAAGAAATCAACCAATGCCCTAAACTATTTGATATCAGTAGTGCACGGCAGCGCACTGAGCTATATTCACATATAGTACAGCTTGGTAGACCAAGGGCTTTCAAGGTACGAACTGCATAGGTAAAGCGAAAAGTAAGCCACGCAAAATTATTAGATCATTACATAAGTTTTGACACTAGAGCAATATGCATCATTTTTCAACCAAGAGTGTTAAACTTGCATGATTTTGGCATCGCGCAGACAAGCATTTTCTTGTGAAAATTTTGGTATACAAGAAGTCTCTCATCGCCTTAAGATAGAGCTGTCTTGGGAGCAAACACGCATGCAACCCATTCACGAATGGCGCGAAGGGATATCTGTTTGTGAAGCGGCGCGCAAAATTATGGAGCTTGGGGTGATGTAGAGTTCGCAGAAAAGGACGACCAGGAAGTGGTTTGCAAAGTTAAAAGCTGGCGAGAACAGTCTGGAAGAGCAGTCGCGCTCGGGTCGTGCACATAAAGCTGTATTATTCTCGCGCGTCGCTTCACACGCATATTCCTGTACTTGCCATTCGTGCATGAGTAGCAAGCGATTCGTCCTCACGACAGCTCCATTTTAGAGTAAGTATAGGCAAATTGTAAACCAAAATATTCTTAAGAAGATGCGCAATTGAACTAAAATCATGCATTTCTAGTCATTCTGGCTAAATTTAGTGTTTACTGCTCTGGTGTCAAACTGATGGAATGAGGTAATATTAACAAAACCACAAGGCAAAGGTCGCATTAGGTAGCACAAAGAGCTTAGTGGTCTACAGTAGGGCCTTAATACCAACAGGGTTGTCCATGGCTGAGAGGTTGAGAGGCACAGAGGCAGCGAGCAAACAAGAGCGTGTAAGTGGTGTAGTGCGCCAGACGCACAGAGTTTTAACAAGTCACGTCGCCTACGGTAATGCCGGATAGCTATTTAAAAATTGGCACCCTGCCAAGCTAGGTTTTAACTAATGCCCTAAACTGGTTAATATTTTTAGTGCACGAAGGAAATCAGATAGAGGAGTTGTAAAGAAATTTCTATATGGAAAGTATTTAACACTTTATTGAAGCGTTTTCACAGTCGAAATTCGTTTATTTGAGCGCTTCCTGCGTTGGTATGATCTTGTAATATACGCAATAATGTGGAGTGCTTGCAGAATCACCTGCGCCTGCCGAGATTCGAACCCAGAACTCACTCCTTCCAGGAGCGCATGCTAACCGTTGCATCACCGACGCTCGTTTTGCCCGCATTTTTACGCTAAAATGTGTGATCTGTCAACAGCCAACCGTCAACAACGGAAAGAGTGAGATTTAGGTTTGAATCCCGGCTTACGCAGATGTTTTTGCAGAGCACTCCACATTATTGTCTTCACAGCGTTTTTCATTCCACTGTGCGGATTCCTATACTTGTAGCATTCACTTCGTTATTTCGCTTTCGTCTTGAACGTCGCAGCATACTGTTTGGGCCCGTCTCCTCGGTGTATTCGGGATAGCTTAACTATGGCGTTCCATAGGGCGTGTTGACTGCCGGAGAATGTTGGATTGCCAGATTCGGCCCCATGCGCGCCGTCCCGAGCATCACAACCACTCGTCCACGGCGCCCTCCTAGGTAATTATTGGGGACAACGCCATTCAAAGTGAATCAATGTCCTACGTGGAGCTTTCCAGATAGTAAATATAAGACTGCTCACGTATATAAAACAAGGCTCTGAGTTTCCAGCTGAGCTTCGCTCGTTCACAGAATCATATAACTTCTGCGCAACAAGCTTTGCCTTCAACATGAATTGCTTCCCAATTCCGAACATATACAAATTCGCTGGGCTTGCTTTTGTTCTTTTATTGTCTTTCCATGCTTTCTTCCGAGATAGGGGTCCTTATAGATGATATGGGTGATTGGTGACTTCCGATAGCATTGAATGTCCAAAACATGCCTGAGAAAAGGGCAAAGCAAGGGTCGTGGTGGCGCTTTGGATAACACGTGGATCGTGTAAAGAGTGGTCACGGGGCGAAGCCCAGCTGAGGTTCCAAGTTTTACTCCTTTCACTGCGCTTTTGTTGCTGCATTTCACATATGCATGCCGCAAAGAAAAGCAGGCAGCAGATAAAATTTGAGGCACGCGCAAGTTTGGAGTATGACTGCAAAACAGGAGAAGCAAGAACCTTTGTGGTCCAGTGGAAAACATTGAGCCTTTAAAAGAGCTATTTGAGGGTTCGAATCCCTGTTGAGGGTCCCAGTTTTACTAATATTTCAGCATTCTTGTGATTGCTTGTCACGTCACGCTGTGCAAAGAAAAAAAATTTGGGCATTAAAGAAAAGTCAGGATAGGACAAATTTTGTGTTCAAAGATTCGATGCACCATTCTGTCTTTTAATAGCGCTGCCGGCATGCATGGAGTGTGCAATTCTTTCAAATATATCACTTTATTTGATCCGTCTCCTCGTTTGTTTTTTCCTACTGCGAGGATTCCAGTATTCCTATAGTTTAATCTAGGCACTCATCTATCATCTATTTTTGGAATTCAGAAGCAAATCCAATGGAAGGCTAAGCTAGTTGCGCAGAAGTTATATGATTTCTACGGCTGTCTTTGGCGCTTTTAAAATTGCTGGGCTTTTATATAACGTAAATTTCTCTGAAAAAGCTGCGTTGTTCCCAGCGTTTCGGAGTTTTTTTACCTTAGAAAATAGTGCGACGAGTACAGAAATCATATGGATGATGCACATTGCACTTATAAGTAGTAATAGTTTTGGTGATAATTGTGTTAGATATGCTATTAGAGTCGAGTTTAGCTCTTTTGTAAGTAAAATTATCTTTTTCTCTATCTTATGCTGCTACTATGGCCGAGTTTTCGTTTCAATATTAGCAAAGGAATGTATGTTACACAAACCGCCTTAATGACGAGAAGATGAAGCAGAAAGAAATTAGAAAAACGTATAGCTGAACTTCCCTCAATAGATAAGGTTTCAGTTGCGACTGAATAATTGGTGCACCACAAACAATGAAGCGACAAAAAGTTTTCATGAAGAGCATTATAATCCTCAGAAGCTGAAATCTCAGCCATCCGTATACGTGGTCGAATTTTTGATATGGCCCTTTGCTAACGCTGAACAATTCAAAACAAGACTGCTTTTCGTTTGCATATTTATCGCCGGAATATTGGTGATAATGATAATGATTATGCCTTCGATAATGCTAATGAATACGAAAGTGATAATGAATACCACTCTTTTGAGCTGTTTGTGGGATCTGATAAGGACACTCACACAATGCATTCCATTCAATACAAAGGTATTGCATTGACTGACAGTTGAACTTCTAGCTGGCAAAATGAAGCATACTTTCATTCAGTAGTGGTTGTGGTAATATTGATGATAATGATAATGACTGTTTTTCTTCTTTAAGCAAAACACGAGGTGTTATAATAAAATTTATTCACAGCTGACGTTTCGGCAGTTCGCCTTCTTCAGAGCCGCTTTTTATATGTGTTCCACTGAATGATTCAAGTGGAGACAACCGCAAGGAGATCACATAGGCTCGTAATGCCTATGTATGCATTACGAGCCTATGTGATCTCCTTGCGGTTGTCTCCACTTGAATCATTCAGTGGAACACATATAAAAAGCGGCTCTGAAGAAGGCGAACTGCCGAAACGTCAGCTGTGAATAAATTTTATTATAGCACCTCGTGTTTTGCTTAAAGAAGAAAAACAGCAATTATATTGAAGCATGCCGAGGTTAATAGACAGTCGGTCTTGGGATAATGATAATGATTATGCCTTCGATAATGCTAATGAATACGAAAGTGATAATGAATACCACTCTTTTGAGCTGTTTGCGAGATCTGATAAAGGCACTCACACTGTGCATTCCATTCAATGCAAAGGCATTGCATTAATCGGCATAATTATTATCTTTATCATCAATATTACCACAAGTTTAAGCTCTTTCCTCACCTTGTAAGACGGACAATAGAACGATGATGAATAAAAAGCAATTACCACGTCGAAGCAGAATAATTATCACTAAATTAATACTCATGTAAGTGCGGCGCTGTATTATACCAGATTTTGTGAGTTTACCACTAATTACGGGATGAAATTTTCAAGGGCATGTTATTCAAGGAAAACTTATTGAAGACATCTAATCTTACGCACGAGGAAGCTCATTTTTCAATCTAGGTTTCGGAGCCGGAGGATGAATCTCAACAAGATCAAGACGCCACCGTGTTTGCTAAAATGTACTCGTCTTCCCCTCTCCACTGACCTCCCTCTTTGAGAGATCCCGCCCGGTTAGTCGCGGAGGCACGTCGCGCGTTCCCAGGTGGTGAATAGAGGAATAAAACGCGAACCAAAAGCGACCATGTGCTTCCCAGAGACGCGGGTGGATTCAGGGGATGAGCTCCTGCTTCTGCAGCGCCGACTTGACAAAAATTCTATTTCCACGAGTCAAGTCGGCCAAAAGCCTGCAATCAAGCGGCCGGGAAGTACATGGGAGGCGGCTAGGAGTCGCCTCCAACAAATAAGCTCCTCTCGCTCCTCCGAGAGAGACTGGCAAGCTACTCGCGAGTACCCAGCCTCCACGTTTAGAGCCTGGCAAGCTTTACGTTGGGTATCAAAATACCAAAAAAAGTAACAAATATGGGCCTTATTCCCTTGACCCCGAAAGAGCCCCTGGTACGGCAGCGCCAGGTAGGACGAGTACGAAGAGGCTGCTAAAATCTCAGGGCCGAACTAGGCTGCAAAGATCGAAACGGACTAAAATGACGATCTGTACCTACAACGCAAGAACCCTTGCTCACCAATCCGCTGTAGAAGATCTATTGATTCAAGCAAGAAGAATAAGGTACGACGTCATTGGCCTGGTTGAGACGAGAAGGCGCCATCCTTTTTACGCTGTCTACGACACCGTAGAACAACTGTTCCTTGGAACATGAGATCGCAGAGGTGTCGGTGGCGTTGGCGACCTCGTCAAATCGAATTTGACCGTGAGCACTGACTCGTTTGAACAACTAACAGCCCGTATCGGACGATTACGATTAAAACGATGTGGTTCTATGCCGGCTTTGACCATCTTCGTTGCTTACGCACCAACATCAAGGTATGACGAAGACGAAGTCGAAGCGATCTGTATGGACCTCGAAAAGTTCTTCAGAGAAGATCATACATTCTTCAAAGTCATTGTCGGTGATGTTAAGGCAAAAATTGGACCTAGAAGAACGTCTGAAGAACGTCACATAGGGACCCACGGACTAGAATGGAATGAACAGGGTGAGAGGCTATCTGAGTTTATCATGACGGCCCAAACCATCCATAGTAACTCTCAATTCCAAAAGCCTCTTTCTCAGCGATAAACGTGGGAGTCTCTCAGTGGAGAGTACCATAACGAAAAAGATCACATCATAGTAAATCGAAGCTTTTGCCTCACCGACGTCGCTGTTGTTCCTAAGTTCTACACGAGATCAGTCCATCGCCTCCTTCGCGCAACGTTCCGATTTTCGAGGAGAGGAGAAAAAGCCGCTGAATTCAAACAACGAAGTCCCAGAACTACCATAAACTGGGATGTATTCAGACCATTAGTCGACTCTTGGGAAGATACCGTTGAGGACAACATCGACGAAGAATACGATTGACTCGTTGAATATCTTCACGTCAGCGCTATAAAAGCCGAGAGTCCTAAGGTCACGAAGAGACGCTTGTCGTCGCAGACACTCGAGCTGATACGTCAACGTGGAATCGCACGAGCTACAGGCAACCGAAACCTCACGTTCGAACTTGCGAAACGATGCAGAGAAGCGATCAAAGAAGACCTCAATGAGAGACGAGCAGCAGTTATGGCAGAAGCTGCAGAAGCTGGGAAGAGCATTCGCAAAGCCCAGCGAGGCTTCGCCAACTATAAGACCAAGATGATTGCACTCCAATACCATGACGGGATACTTACAGCTTCGAGAAGAATATGGAGAAAATCATCCACCAATACTACTCGGATCTCTTCGCTATCCATGTCCTCTTACCGTTATATAAATTGAAAAAGGACGAATATGTCGTTCCACCGGTCCTCCCTTCCGAAATCCGACATGCTATATCGTCGGTGAAAAAGAGAACAACACCCGGTCCACACAGGATTAGACCAGAACACCTGAAGAACCTGCAGCCAGTTCTCATCAACACCTTAGCTCTGCTCTTCATTCCCTACCTGTCAGAATGCAAGATCCCTATTCAGTGGAAAACTAGCAAAGCCGTA